ATTTTGACCACATCATATTGAATTTTTGTAAAAAAAATAATTTTTTTTACATCAATATAGTTTAGGGGGCTTTAAAACATTTTAGGGGGGCTCCAGCCACAGACAGCTTGACTCAGACTTGGCATGAAACCATACAGTGATCTAAACTGGGGATTCATTGTGTAACCACTGAACTATTTAAGAACTGACTGAATGCAGCACCTTGTGTGTGTGTTTTCTGCCTTTGCAGAGATTTAGTTCTGGGTGAAGCTTCTCCAACTCCAGTAAGATAGAAAATAAACTCTTTCCACTATACTTCCATCAGCAGTTTTCTGATTATTTCCGCTGCAGCTTGGATAAATTATTATTGTGACCAAAAAAAAAAAACAAATTAATTCACAGCAAAAATAAATAAAATTTGACTCGTGTTGTTGCAGTACAGCAACATGAGACGTCGCCATACTCTCCTCGGCTGACCGTGACTGTCTCACATAACGCAGGTCCCAAAAAACGAGGTCAACTTTCTCAGATTACGTCTCACCACAGTTCTAGGCTGCAGAGGTACACAGACGCAGCAGCTTCAGTCTTTCCTGCTCAGAATCCTGTCTCCTTTTAAATCCAGCCTGTAGAGGCACAAAACTTCGAAACCTTTCAAAGACATCAACTTTTTAAAAATGGATTTATGCAAGACTTTTTTTTTTGTTTGTTTGTTTTTGTTTGTAAAGATATGTTTTTTTAATCTCTGTGTGAGCCGGTACCATATGATCCCTAGTCCTTGACCCTGTGGTTGGGCACCCCTGATGTAAACCAATATGTACTGATTGTGTTCCCTGAAGTCAGCATTTAAACTGCAAACAGAATATCAAAATGAAAAACACAGATAGGCATTTAAAATTAATGCTATAATTATCCATAATGACACTGAAATGACATTGTGTGCAGTAAATTAGTAATGTTAGTTTTTTGTTGTTCCTCGTCTGGCTGGTTTTCAACTTGAATCTTTACCATTCTTTACTATCAGCAACACGAAGGTTGTCTAGTATCAAAAGGACAGAAAATTCTTTGGAAGTTGGTGTCAAGATAAGAGTAATCTGTATATTTCCAGCAATAAAGCGCTCTTCATTCCCCGAATATTCTTGGCTTTACGGTGCACATGAGTAAAGTTAAAACCCACAAAAACTAAGTTTGAGAGGCCAGACTGAGATGGTTTGGAGGTCGGTGTATCTTTTGGTCTCTGGATTTTCATTTTAGAAACAGGTATTAAAAAAAACAAGAAACGAGTGGCTAAGGCTATTTTATTTTTGTTTTAAAATACTGAAATTAAAATTGAAATACGAAGCGTTTCTCATTCTTAGTGTCAAAAAGGGATGAACGAAATTTTTAAAATTAC